CTATGATACAGCCCCTTAATTTCAAATAATTTTCTTTGAACCTGAATTATGTGTATAGTAAATGTCCATTTACTGATGTATTTTCTATAAATTCAACTACTATTTGTTGTGAATTGCAAAATGTTGAAGGGTAGATACTGACTCAACCAGGCTTAGGAGGGTACACACAAATGCTTGTATGTAATTTGAATATGTACAAGGTTTTAGAGAAAAAGTGTTTATTAGCAAAATAAATGATCAAGCTGGTAAGAGATCAATTATTTGTATGCCACAAAAGCATTTTAAATATGATACGTCACTTTATTTTTTACATATATTCTAAGGCTCTCTCATTACTTTGTAAAATTTAAAGATAAGTTTATATAAATTTTTGTATTAAAAAAGAGTCATCACAGCTTGCCATATTCTGTATTTCTATGCTGGACTATTCTAATCCTAACAAGGAACATGCTTAACTCAGAGAAGAGGCAAAACAAAATTTTAGAAATGATCATTGCAGTGTGCCACATATAGTCGTTCCCTCCAAGTATCAGAGTGAGTTTTATCATTTACAGGCTATTTTTCAAGGTTCTCTTGTGATACCAAGAACAATCATGGTGGTATGCCCTTAAGCTTTAAGAAAATATTTAATTGTAAGCAACTTTACTGATTTGTTTTGACTGCAAACACAGATGTGAAACTGCTTTGTATTTGTGTTCTGTCCTGACACAGATAACCTCACAGCTTGCTCCCTTACTTCTTTCATGTTTCTGCTTAAATATTATCCTTTCAGACAGGTCTTTTCTAAGTATCTCATCTAAATTCAAAACCTCTCTGCCATCTACACCCTTCCCTGCTTAGTTTTCATCCTACCACTTACCACTACCTGACAACATGCTATATGGTTATTCATTCTGTTTTCCTTCATTAGAGCACAAATTCCAAAGGAAACAGGACTTTATCTTGTTGCCCATGATTCTCTATACACGAGAGAAAACGAATGAAAACAGGATACGTGAACAAAATGTGAATGCTCTATTGTTTGAACCTAAAGCATCAGTATAACCTTTTGCGAAAAATTTATAACAATAATTAACATTACCTCCAATGATTCCAAAAAACTTTTTACAAAAATATAAAGTAGTGGCCGGGGATTTAGCTCAGTGGTCCCACTGCCTGCCTCGCAAGCACAAGGACCAGAGTTCAATCCCCAGTACCAAA